TTTTCAATATATGTACTTATGTGAGGCTGGGAATTTAAGCCATAGCATCCTATATTCTACCCCTGGGCTATATTTGCAGTCCTAATTAAAATATATTCACCATGACAGGCTTTACTGGCTATTGATAGGTTTTTTCAAATGCCTGGCACAGCAGAGAAGCAGGTAGAAGGAAAAAGGGAAAGGGCCTTTATAATCTTTGAGGACACGGAGAGGATCTGGGGAAGACAAGGAATTCTCTCGATTGGAACAAAGGGAGGCTGAGGCTTTCATGGCCTTTTGTCAGGATGGAGTTAGGAGGGGACATTTAGTTATACCTCAGGAGCTGACTGGGGTCTTTCCTGAGGCAGTGGGAAGGCTGAAAGGAAACTGTACCCTGGGCTCAGTTGGAGAAGAAGGGGGAGAGGTGGTCTTGGGGAAGATGGGCTTTTGTTTTAAGGGCCTCAGCCATATTAGATGACCACCATGATGATTTAGCAATTTATACTAGGGCCAGAACCTCAGATATATGACAGACAAAGGAATCTTGTGTAGTCCTTGATAAAACATGTTTCATAAACACAGCAAAATAGAAATGTCTAGGAATGAAGACAAAAAAGAACCTCAATAAAATGACAGTTAATGGCCTGAATAAAAAAAAAAGAGAGAGAGAGAGAAACAATGAAAGTTACCTGCATAATGTAAAGCGGTTTTCCCCGAACTGTCGATTCCTTCAGTTGGGCATTTAGACTAGAAAACAAAAGTAAATTTCATATGTCTCCTGCACAAATTCTGTTCAGTTTGTCCTTTTCATGCAAGGTACAACATGACATATTGGGAAAGATATGAACATAAAAAGCCCCAGGCCCTGTGCTCCAGGGCCCTACAGTGCTTTTTGGGAAGGAGATTCATCTCCAAATAATGGCAGGCAAAGAGCAAGTCCTCTGCAGCTCTGCTATCCATTCCTGTTGTCCAACACCATCCCACTGTCGCTGGATCACCCCCACCAGCTAACAAGTATGTGCAAGGATCTTGATCTTAGCCTTTCCCCTCATGTGTGGCCTAATTCTCTGACGTCTTTTGTTTCTCATTTGCTCCTAAAGCCACTGCACCTGCATGTCTGCTCTCAAGGCTCTACCGAGATGGCCCTTGTCAAGGTCACCAGTAAACTACAAATGACTGAAACAATGAAGGCCATATCACAGACAGCCTGGCTTGCAATGTCAAGAGATGCAGAATTAACAAGAGAGAGACCCAGGACCCAAAGACAGCCACTGCCCAATGGGAGAACCCAAAATTTATCCAGAAACAACAATGGTGAAATATTTTGAAAGGTGGAAGAGGTAAAAACTGGCTACCCTAGAGTGAAATGCCTGCCCATTGGTAAGAATGGAGATCAAGTTACCTCTTACCAAGCTCTGGCCTAATTTTAGAACAGCACAAGGAAACTGTTTAAAGGCTTCAAAGATTCCAGAGAAAACCCAATCCATTTGCATAAGCAGATATAAAATTACATTAGAGGCTAGAATATCTGGTTCTAGCCCACAAGAACTTCTAACTTGTCAGGTTAAATCTTCCTTAAAATCAGAGCCAGATGCAAGGTCTGGCTAGCCAAGCCAGGAAGGGAATGTAGATTTAAAACACATTTTAAAAGTTAAAAAAAAAATGCTCCCAAAAACCCAAAACCGAGGTAGGGCCAAGGGTGTAGATACAAGGCAGTTAGTTGGGCAAATGAATGCTTTTGCCTAGAGTGTCTGGTCAAAGAAAAGGCAGAAAAAGAAAAATGTTCAGTGTCTTCAAGAGGAAGCCTCATAATAAAACATCACAGATATTAATCAATTTTTCTTGAATTTTGCTTCAAAGACCTGTTAAGGTCAAACATTCCTGGAATTGGCAGTAGCGTGCATCATGTAAAATAAGACTGTGTGATCAACAAAGAGAGAGAGACTGTGTGATCAACAAAGCTAGACAAGTTGAAGAATGTGACCACATTTCTAAATTAGAATTTCAAAGCTAAATTAAAGCAAGATGCTGAGTCCAGAACAGTGCTTATGATGGCCATGACAACAGCTGGACAGACCAGACAGACAGTACTCCAAATACATCTTTTATTGCTCTATGCTGTTTCTGAAAACAGCCAGCTTGCATTCTGACCACAACAGCTGAACATTATTGTATAGACTGCTATTGGGGTTTCATTAAGTATGCATCTGTACAGATTTATGAAACGCACCACCTTAAGAGATCATTATAAACTTCCTGGCAGGTTATCAGACCAGAGAAATGGCTTAAAATTATAAGGAAGAATAAAGCTAAGTACTTAAACAGGAACTCCACAGTAAAAACTTGTCAAGTTACATGCAAGGAAATAATGGCTGAAAAGTTGTTTTTCAATAAAAGTTGCCCCTTAGCTCAGTTCTTTAAGTGGCTGCTTCAATAAAGCAGTCAGGCTCAGGCTGCTGTGGTTCGATCCCCACAACTCAAGCCAGCCAAACCTGCCCTGAAGGCATTCGGAGCAAATAAATAAATAAAAGTTGAAAAAATAATTTTATAAAAGAAGAGTTGCGTTGTACTCATGATTTATAGGGTGAATACTAGGACACAGGAGATTCTATATGGCAAGGATTTTCAATAGTTTGAAAAGGGATTTTGTAGAAAACTGACTATGTACAGGGAACAAGTCCACTAGGAAAGAAGAAGAGAGCCTGAACGAAGGGTAGAAGACTAATCCTATGAAGAGATTTCAAATTTTGATTAGACTACCAACAGAATGAAGAGAAGAAAAAGTTTTTGCCAGCTACTCCTCTGGGGAACTAATATCTAAAATATATAAAGAACTCAAGGGCTGTAAAGATAGCTCAGCAAGGGGCCGGGGAGATGACTCAGTGGAATAAGTGCTTGCCTGGCAAGTGCAGGGGCCTGAGTTCAATCCCCAGTTCTGCCAAAAAGAAAGAAAGAAAGAAAGAAAGAAAGAAAGAAAGAAAGAAAGAAAGAAAAGATAGCTCAGCAGTCTAAGTGCCTGCCTGGCAAGGGCAAGGACCCAAGTTCAATCCCTGGTGCCACATGCCATGTGACCCTGGAACCTGGGATTCCAGCACTGGGGAGGCTGAGACAAGAAGATTACTATGAGTCTGAACTGCATAGTGACACCCTGTATCAAATGAATAAATAAATACTAAAAATATTAGAATCCTCAGATTTACAGACCCAATTCAAAAATGTTCATCTGAAATGAACAGATACTTTTCATGTGAAGAAGTACAAATGGTTAGTAAATACATGAAAAAATATTCAAAACAACAGGCCATGCAGGAAGTGCTAACGAAAGAATGGTCATCACTCAAGAAATCAACCAATAAGAAATGCTGGCAGGGCTGTTGGGAAAAAGGAATCTTGCTCCACTGCTGGTGTGGAGGTAGACTGTGGAAATCAGTATGGAGATTCCTCAAAAATCTATAACTAGAGGTTTCATTACTCAGCCATTCCCCTTATAGGTATCTTCCCAAATCAGTTGAAGTCACCATTCACCATGTTTAGAGCAGCATAACTCATAATAGCTAAATCTTGTTGGACACAGCCTGTATGCCCATCAAGAGATAAATGGATGAGACAAATGTGGGGCTTTTGTGTGTGAGTGGTTTTTATATAGAACAGTGCTATTCTGTCACAAAGTATAAACAAGACATTTTTAAGTAAACAGATTCACCTCAAGGCTACAATCTTAAGTAAAACAAATCAGACATGCAATTTTATTTATTTATTTATTTATTTATTTATTTATTTATTTATTTATTTATTTTGTGGAACTGGGGATGGAACTCAGGCCCTTGTGCTTGCCAGGGAAGCACTAATTCTACTGAGCCATCTCTCTAGCCCCTAGACATGTAATTTTAAATACCACATTATTCTCTTGTGTGAGAAACTCGAAGTATAAATAAGGACCAAAATAGAAGATGGATATTAAGGAATAAGTTTTTTTCAAATGGAAAGGGGAACAAGAGATGGAGAGGGGGGAATGTAGGAAGGGAAAAGATTAAAAAAAAAAAAAAAGACAGAAAGAAATGAAGGAAAAAATACAGCCTTACAAAGGGAAGGGAAAGGGGCTGGGAGAGGAGTGGGAAAAGAAAGAAAGAATTAAGATGTGTCATATACATGTACAAATGATGAATACAGTCATTCTTTTTATTGGTAGATCATACAGACATGTACTTTTAGAAAACCCAAAACAAAACAACTCCAAGGTCTGACATTCTCAACATTTGGAATTTTCCAGAAACTCAGAGATTTAATGTAACTGAGGTATGGTGGTGCAAACCTGTAATCCTAGCATTTGGGAGGTGGAAACAGGAGGATGGCTGCAAGTTCAAGGCCAGCCAGGGCTACATAGTGAGTTCAAGAACAGCCTGAACTACATAACAAGACTGTCTCTAACAAAAAATAATAGTAGCAATAGTACAAAAGATCGATCTAAAATCAAAAAGCTAACCTGCCAGGCATGGTGGCGCACATCTGCAGTCCCAGGACTTGGGAGGCAGAGGCAGGACAACTGTCATGAGTTTGAGGCCAGCCTGATTTACAAACCACATTCAAGGCCAACCTGAAATTATAGAGAAAGCTTCTATCTCAAAATAAAAACAATAAGCAAACAAATAAATAAAAAGATTCAAGGGTAAGTAGAAGCATTTTCCCTTCATCTTCCACTTGAGTAATGTGGAAGATGTCTGTGTGAGTCTATGACAGAATGGACCACAGGAATTACAGAGGCATGTGGAAGCTGAATTTACTGCATTTTATTAAACATACTCAAAATCTTGCTGCGTTTTGTGTCCAACATTTGGCCAAAAAATGAACACAAATGGAAACTTAACCTTTCATCTTCTAATGTAAAAAAATTTTATTTACTCACTTTCTGATTAATGCAAAATTCCCCCATGTTTACTTTGCAACCTTTTGTGTATGTTTATCTTTCATATCATTAAATAAATGTGGTATTCAAGCAAAATAATTTTGATTAGAAATCTTTTTTTGCCAGTGGATTTGCTATGGAAACAATGTTTTCCCTGATTTTATTTCAGTGATAGGGCTACTTAGCAGACACAGGTTCTGGGATAGTAGTATAAGGGGTGTGTGTGTGTGTGTGTGTGTGTGTGTGTGTGTGAGCGTGCGCAGGGGAGGTTAGAAAAAGGTTACCTTTACATTTGAAGAATGACACATTCATAAGTATAAGCTGTTGCCACTTTACCTGAACGAGCCTCCTGACGCACTCATGGTGGCCGTTCTTGGCAGCGAGGTGTAAAGCACTGTGTCCTGAATGGATTGAAGAGCAGAAAATGGGGGAACAAGTCATAGTTTTTGTATAAGGCTTCACATTCTTTTATGCAACCCGGGAGGAGAGAACAAGCCATCCTGCCCCAGGTAACGTCCACAGGCTCTGCCTGCTCTTCTCTTAGGCTTCAGTTACACAGCGCACTGGAGGCCTGTAATGGATCTGCGACATGACGCTTAGAAGTTTACCCTTTCACTGCCAAATGCCCTT